CCCTGGCTGTGTCCCATAGATCAATGTAATAAACAGGAAAAACCAAAAACAGATCTCAATTCGAAAAACAGCCTTTTTCTTATGAGTCACGGGTCCATGAAAAAGTAACTTGATGGCTCTGAGTAATATCACCAGTGATTACTTATTGGGTCTCAATATGTGCCAGAAGTTGTGCTAACGTTTGACATACATTTCCTCATTTAAATTCAAACAACTCTGCACCCGGGTGGCTACTGCTTAACTGCATTCTACAGAATAAGGAAACTGGGGTAATAACAGAGCCTAGGTGCTGAAAATCCTACGTACACTCAACAAAACACGCTCTTCCAACACGCACAACATGGAAAACAGTTCCTGAAAAAAACCTCATCTAAAACAGATATCCTGAGTCTCAATTACTTCATGAAAGGAAAATACAACCAGATCAATATCTTTATTTTATATAAACAAATATAAAAGGAAAGAAGGAAAGAAGAACAACACACTCCAACTCATTTTGGGAATCTGTATCTGCTATTGATCTTGCATCTGACAAGCAAAATATATCAATATTCAAAATATATCAACACATGAAAAGTGAGGAAAGAGCATGGGCTCTAGGGATCTGAATTCACTGTGGCTAAACGGAAGGCTCCAATAGCATCCAATCAATCGATCATGTTACATTAAAAAAAAAGAAAGAAAAGCAGGAAACACAGGTTTAGGCAAAAATAAAGGTACTAAAGGATTTATGTTATGATTTTGCTTTCAGTGATAAAACTTAGTTCTCCCTTCTACATGGTCTAAACACTTGGGGCAGTGGGAATGAAGGAGAGGTGCAAAGAAGAGAAGGCAGCTCTCCGGTTGCTGATCATGTGTAAGTATATAGTCCCTTTAGTTTTCTTGTTTTTGCTTTGCTACAGACTCAGGGCAGCACCTCTGATAGCTGTAAGGAAATCAAATCAGACATTTTAAAAAATGTTGTTTCTAACAAGTAAGAACAAAATATAAAGTACTTCAGTATGTACTCAAACACAGCTATCATGATTCAAAAGGGAACAGGATTTTGCATTAAGGCCATCTGGTGTTATATTAGGGCGTGTCCTCTGGAACTCCAACCAAGGGTGACAGCCAAACTAAGCCATAGAAGACAACTCAGAATTCTGGTGAGACCCATAGTATAAGCTATATTTGAAAAAGCATTTTAGAGCACCTGCTTGACAAGATGATCTGATATCACTCCACCCTCATAATAGCACTCTTTTATATCTGTAATACTGCTTTTGTTTGTAAAACATGGGTCAGTCGTAGAAATGGCAGACACCCTGAGATGATACTACAGAGACACGGGTTATCTGACAATCCACAAATGCACTCTCAAATTTTTATGCCTCTATCTTGCTAATGTCATTACCAGCTCTGCAGATAAGTAAACAGATTCCCTTAAGTCTCAATTCCCACGTAGGAACCAGGGAAAAAAAAAAACATAAATTTGTCACACCAGATTCTACAACTAAAAGTTTGCTAAGAAAAAAATAATAATAATAAATGGAGCTTTCCGAAGACAATAAACTAGATTCCCTGACCTGATTATTGGTCATAGCCTTGTAAAACTAGACTTACTCCTTCCTCCAATTCCATACAAGTCACCTGGCTATCAAACTGACTGATAAATAGTACTGACTGCACAGTTGCTCCACTTAAAAGTTTTAAAGTAATAGAAGCAAATTTTGTGGTGGGATGTGTGAATATTTTTATACCATTTAAGTAACTACCAGCACAGAAAACTTACTTACTGGCATTATAAAGGAGATGATAAGAAACACAAAATTAACCACAAGTTTAGGAACCTTCAAAATTTTTCAGTAGAGTCAGCTGCAGGTGCGGGGTTATTTGAAACTGACACTGAAACAACTGTGCAAGCATTGGAAACAAAGCAACACAGAAACAGAAGGAATCTCACAAGTAAATTTCAACTGATGAGCCTAAATACAATATGGATTATTTTCACATTGTTCTGTCTGAGTCGTCTGTCTCAGATTCTTAACTTCCAGATTCTATTTTTAAAGTCACTTAACAGTGTGTATTTCCAGTAGCCATCAAGGCATATACTGTCATCCCTGACACCGAAGATTGTCAGCAGACTCAATATGTACACTAATGATCTCAGGCAACCATGCCCATCTTCTTATCAAAGAGATTCCTTTTCCAGAAGAACAAGTCTAACATTCTCAATGAAGATTCATTATAAAACATAGGAAGGAGTCTTTATGCAATGTTCAGGATCAGTAATATCTCTTTCTTCTTGTTAAGGTGATTTTCTATACTGAATTTTACAAACTAAGACTGTCAGGCATTATAACATTTTTGAGTTCTCTCCCAAGTCGCCTGTTCTCTCTTCTAGCAATTGTCACATCATGATAGCTGCTGTCACCGTTTTTTATACAATAGCTGGCAGCAAGTTGTACAGATACCCTGCATCTCAGCACTGTCACCAAATAACCTAAGCAAATGACTAGAACCTTAAAGCAATAATACTGCCCACTTTCCTAAAGCCAAATAAGTGGGCTATCATACCTTATTGGTAACTTGATGATACTCATAAAAGCTAAAAGTTTATTTCTTTTCCAAACTGCTTAAAAATAACTTTCCTCCTTACATACATTCTCCTGTTCTCTCCTTACTGCTTCTGGAGGGTCTGGTTATAAATGTTTTCACATTTACTCTGGCCTTTCGTACTTTCGCCCCGCTTTTGCTACCTGCTTTTAGAAGCACCAGTCCTCCAAGAGGTGCGTTTGAAGATAACGTTTTCAAAGCATGAAATAAATGGATTGTTTTCCTTTACAAAGTTAGCAGTGCATACAAAGGAACAGAGAAGACCAGTGATCTCAAACACAGGTGATTTGACAGGTCGCACATAAAAATTATTGCAAGTAACAGGAGGAACACCTGAATGACTGATTCTGGGTCTCTGCTCTAATTAACAGACAAGAATCCCTCTCTAGCTCTCTTTGCTTTGGCAATCTAAAATGCTGATATTCTCCTAGATCTCACAGAGAGGAAAAATGGGTATCTTCTCCATCTAACACCTAAGTGGGTAACCTAGATACTGTAAATAGAGGCTACATAAAGGATGCAACGGACAACTCTGAAGTCAGAGCCAAAATATTTAACCTGCAACTCTTTGGAAAGGAATCTGAAAACATATGCTGCTTAGCCAAAAGCTGTACTAACATGGAATTGCCACAGGCCAGTAAGTTAAACAAAACAAAACTAAACAAATCTCTTTAACAAACAGAAGTTTACTGTTGTTGGGTGAGAAAAGTCTGGACTTCAAAAACACAATTCTTGTTTGTTCAAATTAACCGTGCTTGTATCTTGCATTGTTCAGTTTAAAAAAAAAAATGACTGAACTGTTTATTTGAAACAAGTACTTGGAAAAAAGATGTTTAAAAAAAAAGCAGCTCAAAAATAAAGGAGGCAATTAATGAACTAAATAGCATTTTCCTGCTGATCTTCTGTTGGGTAAAGGATGACAGCGAGGTCTATGCTAACAGCTACCCTCTTACCACACATCCTCAATGTTTCTAAAGCTAACAGCTAGATAATTCACTAACAGAAATTGCATATAGATCTATCTTTGCCTTTAGAAAAACATCTAAAGTTATCTAAGAGATTAGCACTATCATTCAGTGTAAAATCACTGCCTTCATTCATTTCTCCCTCCTAAAGGATAAAAGAATTGCAAGTACTACTTGAAGAATGAAATTTTCCTAGGAACTGTGTCTCATTAGCAAAAAACAACAAGACTTCTAAATAAATGAATCAAGGTAGTTCAATCTTAATTTCAAGTCAGTAGATAAAATTACTTAAAGTTAATGAATTACAAGACACATTCAATAGTAATCTACATATCATTGCTTATGTCCAGTGGTCTGCTAATGACAAAACTTGTAGCTTTATAATATAAATTTTCTAGACTGTAAGAGGAATGAGGAAAGGGAAATTTTTCTCTTCAGATAATAAGAATTAGCTTATGGATATGCTCATCATTAAGTAGTTATTTCATTTTCTTTAGTAATTAAATACTCAAAAGAATTTAAAGGGGAAAGTGTCCTTCCCATATTTCTCAAACACAAAACTTGTAAATTAAATTTGTTACACATAAATCAGATGTCATTTCTATATGAGAATATAAAAACACACTCAAAGTACAAAGTGAAATAAGGTTTCCATTTACTACTGAGTAGAGTAACAGAGCACTTCCATTTCATAAATGAACTAAAACCCTGTTATTAAGAGAAAATAATAATACACTTTAAAACAAGCATTTTGTCTTATGTCAATGACAGCATGTAAGCTGCTTTTTGTACCAAACACTGTATGCTCCATCATTGAAAGACTTTATCAAAAGAAGTAGGCAAACTTTCCATTACTGCAAGCTTAAAACATCCTTCCAAATTTCCTCACTTTATTCGCTGGACAACCGCAAACACAATGCTTTCAATTTTGTGAGAGAAATAGATGTAAATGAGCTTCATAAATCAATTACATTTCATTTCCAATGCTTTGGAAGACAAACTTTCACTTTTTTCTTTTTTCAAAGGTAAGTAATGCTACGACACTACAACTGATGGTTTAGCTCAATACCAAGGCAATATAAAATTAATTTTTTACTAGGAAGAGTTCTTTGGAAGCGACAGCTATTCACACTTTTTGCCAACAACCATAACAAACCCAGTCATAAACCTGGCAAGACAAAACGATAACCAGCAAACCCTAGCAATTCTTACCTGGTACAGGTAAGCACCAGCTCCCAAATGCTACCCTGGGATAGTTGAGACTAGTAAGCAGGCTCATGTTTTGATACTAGAACAAGCAGGAATAAATCTGTATTGTTGCTCTTTCCTTAGCAAAATCTATAGCAGTGGCTGTACCACAATGTGAAAGAACACAAACCTAACAAATTCAACTCCGCCGCAGAGAAACAGAAAAAAAAAAATCATAAAATGAAGACTTACTGCTTGTCATGTGACTCGGTGAGGCATGTTGTCCATTGGGTGTGCTTGAGGTGAGGTCAATTGCCATATCGGAGTGCTCCCTTTCAGGTGAAAGCTCATTGTCACCTGTTTCCAAAAAACAAAATAATTGGTCTCTATTCATTGTCCCATAAGTCGAGTTTCTAATTTTGCCATATCTACAGTGTCAAGCTTAATACCTGTGCTTTTAAGCAATATTTCTCCTTTTAGAAAAAAAAACTATAAGGAAATATCATCTAGAAACATACAATAAATGAATGAAATGATAACCATAATCAGTCTGCCATAAAAAAACTAACAAAACTTTATTATCACATTACTCTTACGTGTAAAATAAAGAGAAATGATGTAGGTGAGTTCTAAAGTCTCTTACAGTTAGGATAAAAAAATTTTTTAAACACCTAATTTAATTACTAATCATATAATATTTTGAATGAGCATTTATCAAAACACTGGTTATCAGTTTGAGAACAGAGCTGGATAATAAAAATCTAAGTTTAGGGAAGCTAATTTTGTTTACATTGAATTTTGAAAAACTGGCCTACTAAGTAATGTTTATTTAGCACATGTCATACTGACATATATATGTGTATATAGACATATATATGTAATTTGGCTTATTCTAAATTTGCAACAGATGAAAAAGAAACTAAGTAGGAAAGTATTAATACGCTAAGCTACCACTGGCTTAAACACTGTCCCTAGTAAGTATATTTCTCGATTTCCTTTTTATTTTTCCTGTTCCTTTACTTTCTGAAATGTATTTAAAGGTGAAATCATGAACAGATAGAAGCAAAAGTGCAAAATTCTCAACATCTTGCAACTCCTCCATTCATAAACAGGTAATATGAAGTTATCTTTACTACCAACAACCAAAGAGGAAAATAAACACTCACATGTTATATAGCCATCGATAGCCTCTGTTTCCATAGTCAAAGTGCAGTGCTGCAAAGTAAGAGACGACACTCTCAGAGCGATGATTCCTTTCAGAACCTGCCTTTAAATCCCCAACTTATTTGAAGCTCCAGCTAGTCCATGTTGCTGCTGCAACCGACAGCCTGTGCCCAAGAAACACTCTACAGTGCACGGAATGTGCTTGTTCGCAAGTCACTGAACTCTTCCTGCAAATGATCTGATTCCTGCTGGAGATAGGACAGGACAGATACCTGTGCTGCGAGATGGGCTGTAACAAGAAAGGACTCTCTTAGTCAAAATTGACTGGGTTGAAAGGAAAACAGAGGTGAGAGGGCTGCGCTTCAAGTTGTCCATTTCGACTGGGATTTAAGTATTTTACCATTTACTACTTCCCACAATCACACTGCAGTTTGAGGACTTCCCCAGTATACAGATAGCTCTATTCACAATTGTTGCAAGTTGGTTCATCATGTTCTAATGGGGAGGGGAGGACAAACAAACATAAGAAAACAAAACAAAACAAAAAAACTTAGTGCCCAACGGTGTCTCTAAGATTTCTGCAGCAGTTGGCCAACTACTCCCTGACCTGTATTGACATTTTAGCCTACTCCAAGTTCTGTGTGAAGCACCTGTTCAATGTAGCCTTAATTTCCTGCCAGACCATGGCTGGAGACAAATGCCGAGCCTACTCAATGCATTTAGAATTTGAAAATTTCATAAACTTCTGTCTGTGCAGAAGGGAATCACTTTTTTAAAAGTTTGGGGAATATTTTCAGGCACCAGTGACACAAAACAGAACTTAATTCTCAGAAACAAACGTCAGCTCTGTGAGATGACACCCCCTAGCTTTGATTCACATAATGAGAAAATCAATCATCTTAACTCTTCTTTGAACCAAAAAGTTTAGGAATTGACAAGTGCTGAGGAGATTTTCACTTTTTTTTTTTTTTCCTTTTTCCCATTGGCCCTGGTCCTTTTTGCCTTTAGTTTCAAAACTCTCGCTGCACCAGCAGCTAAATTATTCACAATGAGCCATTTCTGTATTGATCGCCAAGTATATTTAGCCCTGGCTCCTGGAATTTCTCCATTACTTACTGGAAAACAGGCAGCTTCACTTCTTGTCTCCAAAACCACTTCCCTTCTCCCTCCCCTCCCCTTCTTCACCACCACCCTCCCTACCCCCCACCTCCCCCCCAAAAAAACTTTTCTTTCTTTATGGAATCATCAGATCAAATTCCCAACTCAGCCACTACACAGCACTTAGATTTCAACCTGCTGTACTGTTATCAAATTCTTTCAAATTATGATTACATAAGGCTTTTAAAAAAAGGGATTCGTAAAGTTAAAAGGGGAGCAGTTTCTTCGGATATTTTACAAATGAGTTTATCTCTTTAAAAATGTACACATTTAACACACACATATTAAAAAGAAAGAAACGTCCAGGAGAAGCAAAAGAAGTCTGTCCCATCAATGAAATGGTTATTAACCCTCAGACAAGGAAAGAGAGAGAAAGGAGAAAGAGAAACGAAATGTACATACAAAAGAAATTGTCCTTTGATTAAAAAAGATTCATCACCATTTCCAGCCTCTGTCGGGAGATCTCAGCTTCTTCTAACCCCTCAGAGAGGAGGTGACAATGTCCGGCTGAAGATGAACCGAGAGAAAGAAAGAAGTTTTTTGTTTCACCCTTTTCTCCCTCCCGTGCACTCTCCAAGCCAAGCCCCCTGCAGAGTTCAAGGCGAGGAGGAAGGAAGGAAAAACCTTTACAGGTGGGTCATTCCAAGCCCCAAACCAGCAAGCAGCACGGCAGATAAACAAAACTAAGAAATGAGAGAGAAGGAACAGCCCCCTCTCCTCCTCCTTCTCCTCCTCCTCCTCCTTCTACCCCTCCCCCTCGTCCCTTTGGGATGGTCTAGTAGGAAAAGTCACTCAGGAATGGCACACGTACTTTCAGGAAAGGGGAATTTAAAAAAAAAGAGAGAGAGAGAGAGAGAAAGAGAGAGAGGTCAGTCACTGCTACAGCAACACGATTAACAAGAAGAGAAAAAACTTGATCCACCGGTTCCTTAAGAATCGACCAAAAGCTAAGACAAGAAAACTGAAAGGAAGAGGGAGGGGGTGCTAAGAGAGGAGGGACAGCCAGGCAGAACCGGCAAGGAACCTAGGCCAACTTCACAGGACTGCTTTTGGCCTTTGGCAAAAAAAAAAAGGGGGGGGGGCTAATAATCATCTTAGTTCTCTTTCACCCATACTGGAGCCTGTCAAAGTGATTTAACTGCTTGCTTTTTTGTATGTGTCATACCAGTTTTTCACCACCACCCCCCCTTAATTCCAACAGGATCTGGATTTTTAACCTTCTATCTGGACAGCTGCAATTTATTCTAGCCTATCCAATCTCTCTTCTCGGAATTCAAGTTAAAACAAAGCAAAACAAGTCCAAATCCACGAGAGCTAGAGATGAGAACTGATTAATCCATTAACATCCCAGACACAGACTCCAAGGAGGGGGCAATAAATTAAGGCACAGGACATCGTCTTCGACCCGATTCCCTGAGCGTCCTTTATAAAAATCATTACCCTAATCATAACCACAACCCATCCCCTCCCAGAGAAAAAAAAAAAAGCACCTCTATTATTACTGGTTAACAGCAACAAGTCATTTGATCACAGCACAGTGCAAAACGCGATGCTACAAAATCACACTTAACTTTGAAAACACTCCCCCCCCTTCTGCAAACCATACACATATTTAGATATCGTCTATGAATCCGAAGACAAATAAAACAAGAGCTGATCTTCACCACGCAAAAGCCAAGCGGAGATTTACCTCAGCAGTGCATGCAGTAAAACAATCCCATCACCCTTTTGTTTGTGTTTACTGTTAGTGTGTCCTCTCTTTCTTTCTTTCCTGTGCCTAACGTGTGTTTGTGCACTGCAGTGGGTGGTGGAAACTAAGGCAGTGGCTCTGTAGCTAAGGGTAATCCTGTTTTTACTTCCTCCATCTTCAGCGAGGAGCAGGGTTAGCCCGGGACAGCTGGTCAAACCCCGAGAAACCGATCCGGCGGAGCCCGAGCACATCTCCCCCGCCGGCCGAGCTCGCGCAGACGCCCCGCGGGCGGAGGGCGGGCTGGCGGCGGCGGCGGCGGCGGCGGCGGCGCGGGGCGGGGGGCGCGCGCGCGTGCGGACCAGGCAGAGCGGCGCGCCGGCGCCCGTGCGTGGGCCTGAGTGTGCGTGTGCGCGCGCGCGGCTCGGCGCGCTCCGCCGCTCGGCGCGCTCGGCAATCGATTACAGGACAAGTGCTGCCCCGGCGGCCCCGAGACGCGCGCCCTCCCTCGCGCCCACCCGCGCTGCCCGGCCTCGTCGCCCCGCTGCCCGCCGGCCCCGGCCTCCCTCAGCCGCTCCCGAGGGTCGGGGTGCCGCGAGGGGCTCCCCCCTTACACCCACGCCCCTCGGTCCTCCGCTCCCCCCCGCCCCAACCACCACCACCTCCACCTCCACCACCACCCACCGCTGTCCTAATAAATCTCACGTTTGCTGCCGCCCGGGGAGGAAGGATTGCAACGGTGAGGGGAGGTTCATTTCGGCCGCGTTGAAGTTTTCTTTCAAACTGGGGTTTGTGGTGAGGCTGCGCGCAGGCAGCGGGGCGGCGATCCCGACGCCCGGCGCGGAGCTCGCGGCTCGGCGTCCTGGCCCGAGTGTTGTGGCAGAGCGCGCGGACCCACCCACCCACCGGGGCTTCGCCTGCAACTCCGCCGTTGCCTCTCAGAAAACGGCACCCGCTAGGCCGGGCAGGACACACGCAGCCCAGCACGACGGCCCTCGGCGATGGGCAGAGAGGGAGACTCGGGTCTGACATGAAGCTCCACTAGTACTATTTTGAAAGTGCTTTACAGTGCAAGTTTAAAATTAGAGTGTTTACTTGCTTCACCCCTCCTCTCCTGCCCCCAGCCAGGCACACGCCACGTCCACCCCAGTGAGCGGGAAGGATGAGGGTCCAGAAAGTCGTGTCCCTTTCCAGTGCTGCCTGCCAGCCAGCATCTCACTCACAGCTTCTTTCCTGGGGAAGAACTTTACACGGTCGTGAGAAAAACAAACGCATATTCTTTCTACAAATAGTAGCGTTTAGTATCTTTCTTGACCACATTTGCAAAAAAAAAAAAAAGAGGGAATAGAGACTTCTATAATTAAAGAGAACAGGAAAATGAAAGGAGCTGAAAATACTGAACTGTGTAGTCTGGGTGGCTTAAGTTTGAAAACACATGAAATTATCAGGATTGCCAAACAGCATTTCTGAGAAACCATATCACAGATTGTGAGGAAAATCAATGCTAAAGAGTGGAAACAGGCAGCATACTCCTCCTACTCCTTTCAAGAATCCCAGAAATAGTTGCTGAGGGTTTTTTTTTTTCTTTCTTTTTTCCTTCTGAGGAAAGACAAATGAAGCATTGAAAATAAAATCATAAATTGTATCTTAAGCGCCACTCCCTACAGCTGGGAAATTTTGCACATTTTCATTTTTGATTTGAGAAATGAATTCATTCACAGTGATACGTACTAAATAATGCCATATCACTTGCATAATGAATGACGTTTACATGTATATTTTGTACAATGTAATGTATTGGATAAATTCACCAGTAGATTCCTCTTCTTAATTACAGACTGTGATGGTTCATACCACACAACAAACAAGATTAACCTATTTTCATCGAAGCTCAATCATTGGAGCTCCTACTTGGAACAACTTTCTGATGATTTGAAGAAAAACGGTGGTTCCTGTGAGTGGTATGTTGGTCAATCAGATATTTTAATCCCAGCTCTCAATGACCGAAATGCCAACTAGTTCTCCTAAGGTCAGTTTTTTGGGGAGATGGTTGAGGCAGCTTTCTGCTTATCTGCCCCCCCCTCCAAATAACTGCAAGTGGGAACGGTATTCATAATATGCAAATGCTCTAAGTTGCTGCAAATCCCTCCTAAAACTAAGGCTAAGTGCTTATCTGCAAAGTTGTGGAGGTCCTTAGAAAAAAGATGAAAGAAGAGAGATGAACTATCTTGGTCACTTAACCAACTTAATTCTTCGGTGAAAGAGGATCCCTTGTGAAGTCCTAAGGATTCAGCCTTAAATTCCCCAAAGCTGCCCTGGGCACACAGTTGATAACAGGCCTTTGCCCCTGGTTGATTTGAGCTTAATTTAGCTCCCTTTGAGGCTACCCTTCCATTGGCTCACTAGACGCTAGAGGGACACTTCCTCCCTCTAGTGGCTGCACCCTCAGATAATTCACACTGTCCCCCTGCCTCCTCTGCGAGGTGAGGACAGGGAGCATGGATTCAGTTGAAGAACTGAGATCTTCATGGCCACCTGTGAGAACCAGGCCATCTTAGTCAACAGCTCCCTCTTTTTCACTTCCTTTGGCCCTTTCTTTTTGGCATATCCAACTCAAACAGGGAAGTCAAGATTGGGTTTCATGCTGAGATGAAAGGTACTATTTCATGTCTCTTAAGTATTACAATCCTGGCAGTAAGACTCAAAATGAAATATACATGTGGGAAGGAACCCTTCCATAAACTGTAATAATTTAATTTGTTCAGAATTTCTTGATAATATTTTGATAGTGGTTAGGGGAGACACTATTTCTGTCCTTTGCCGTAACTACACTGTATAGATTTTTTTTTTTAGAGTATATATTACATACGTGAAAATAGACCACCAGGGAAGTGAAGTACTGTATCCTTTAGCACTGGGGCCCATTGGAAAATTAATCATTTACTTTGTGTAGGAGTGGCACCATGAGAAGAAAATATTCTCCACGCTCTCAATTTTTCAAATACCCACCTACGTGTCACTCAGGCTTTCTCTCCTGTCCTGTGGGCAATACCTTCTAGCACCAACTCGTATCACACTGCCTTGCATTTTTCTTTTTTGATAAAGTTGTTCAGTGCTTTGCTTACTTACTGAGTTTTAAAGTAAAATCTGTTTCCAAGTAGTGTACTATCTTAGGGACAGGGATTGTATCTGTGTTATTAATCGTTGTTTGCTCAGAACCGGTATAGTGCTTGGGATAAATTTGCACTCATAAAGACAGTCCTTGAATAAATGACTGAATACTGAAGACATTACAAACAAACCTAGCTTGTGGAAGCTGAACAGTTGAAAACAATGAAAGTGGTTAAAATTGTGTGCAAATTTTAAATGTGAATAAAAACCAGTTTATGATAGTGTTTCATTTACAAACTGTTTCATATTATTGATAGTCCATGCACCAGAGTGCATCATCATGAAACACAACAAGTTTAACTTTGGAGTTACCAAGTGCCGTAATGAAAGAACGTTACAAGGCAGTAGAGCTGAAAGTTCGAGTATTGGTTTTGTTTTCTTTGGACAACTTGTTTGATTTGTTTTAGATATAAAAGCCCTAAGTACCCTCTCAAGGAATTCTGATAAAATCTCATTTTTATTTGTTCAAGGAATTAACTTCATGTTTTAAAGTTTGATTTTGCTTTTAGTACAGAGTAGTAAGGACAATTTGTAAAATTTCAACTCTTTCCTAAAATCAGAGAAAAAATGTTTGGAAACTATATTTTTTAATTAAATAAGTCCAGATATGGAATGTCTTTACCCAAAGTAGGTGCCCACAAATAGCTTGAATGCCTGAAAAGGTTAACATAGTCACACACATAGGCGCAATGTTTTAAAATTGATCTTTTGTTTGTGTCGGGTATTGTTCTTTTCTTTGAAGTAGTGTTCTGTTTTTAAACAAAAATGGAACAATGGTCTCACTTTCACCTGTCAACCTAGACTGGCACTATGAAGAAATAAGGAAGCCAGAAATGGAACCATAGTTTCAAAGAAAACTTTGTAAGATACCAGATGAAGTTCATAACCAGAGCATATTAATAGCTCCTAGCATTCCCTCTCCAAATACATTGATAGTCTGGGTTCTGGCCAGCTGGCATTGGAGGCCTACACGCAAAGGGTCTTCTTATTCCATCCACCTTGAACAATAGTTTCTTTTTAACAACTCCTGAGAGTGTCACTTTGCAATTAGAGATAAGTCCCTTACACAGATACCCATGTGTATATGAAGGCAACATGATTTGAATTTATACTTTGATAGAACAATATCAGATTTCCTTTAGAGAGCACATTTTGATGTAGAGCAGGAGATAAGCTATCCCTATCCCAAATAAGAATTAT